TGGGGGGGGTCTGTGCTCTGTTTGTGTGGTTTGGGGAACTTGCTCCCCCCCTGTGCCAGCTCCCCGGACCCACCTGTATCCGTGCTGGCGAGTGCATTCGTTTCCCGTTAAGTCAAGGAGACGGAGGCTGCGGGGCAGCTCGTCTGCAGACATCAAAGGGAAGGCAGGAAGGTGCTGAGATGGGACCTCAGCCCCCTCCCTCTGCCAAACCCCCGTGCCCCATTCCTCAGGCGAAGCAGCCTCTCACCTCACAGCTGGGGAAACTGAGGCAGGGTGGGCAGGAATGTGTATTGCACTCACTCAGAGGGTTTTGCCCTTCCCAGCCTCTCACCATTCCCTTTCTTGCCCCATTTGCAGAGGACCTGGTGGAACTGTAGCATTGCTACAGAGCAAGAGAGGGAGATGTTACCTCTCTGTCCCTCCCTGTCCTGCCAAAAATCACCCATGGGAGGAGACAACTGAAAGACGTGAGGTTGAAATCCCCGAGCTCCATCTGAGCTGCTGAAATGTTCTGCTGAAGCAGGACACAAGGTGGAAGCAGACACCTGGAGTCTGCCAGCAGAAGGGATGGCTTAAACCGGGCCACAGGGCTCCTCTGGTGTCATGCTGGGACACGCAGGCCAGCCCCAGGATGGCTCCGCTGGGGCTCTGGCTGGGACCTGAAGGCCAGGGGCCCTGGCAGAGCCTGGACCGAGGGTCTGCTGGCGTTTCCCCGATACCCGAGGCACCTCTTGGGCAGACCCAGGCCATGTCCGGACCCTTTCCTGCCTCCCACCTGGGTCCAGCATCTGGATCTGGTTGTGGGCCAAGTCAAGGGCGCGCAGGTGTCGCAGGGGCTGCAGGTTCTCCACTCTGCGGATGCGGTTGCCAGCCAGGGAGAGGAACCTGCAGGGCACAGGGAGGGCAGTGGCAGGAGCTGGCGGGGGACGCCACGGCCCCCAAGGTCAAAGCCAGTGGCGTCAGGCTGGCAGGGGCTGTAACTCGAACCCCTCCAGCTCTGCCAAGGGAAGGAGGGCACCCCGCTCTCCTCTGGCCATGGAAAGCGATCTCCTTGGGGGCAGGAGTTGCCCATACCGCAGGTTGGGAAAGCAGCCCAGATTCTCGATCTTCTCAATTTGGTTCTGGAAAACAACCAACCAACACGTTTATCTATTGCATGAAAAATCAGACTTCCAGAGCACCCCAAGATTGCTCCATGATGTTCCATCACTGCTACGGGACCTTTATGGAGAGGGTATGGGGCTGCAATGGCATGGGGACCCCAGCAGAGTTTGGGAGGACCCTACGGCTCCTCGTGTGGGTTTGAAAACCACTGAACAGCTGATGCCAGACCCTGGCTGGAATTCTGCTGGGGACATTGTCATTGGAGGGGAGCGCTGCCAGCCCCTTCGGTCGTGCAGGGAGGCAAAACTCTGGAGCAGAACTGGGAGTGTTTGCGGTTCCCCTGAGGAGACCTTTATGCACAGGATCTCCGCTGCCCCACCCCTGCCGTCGTGCCTTACCTGCTGCAGGTAGAGGCTGTGAATCTCCTGCAGGCTCCTGAGCCTCCCGATAGTGCAGATGTTCTCCCGGTCCAAGCGGATGGTTGAGGGTGACACCAGTTCCATGGATCCAGAGGAAGGCGGGGGCTCGGGGTGTCCTTTGTTCCCAGAGACCCTCCCTGCCAGCCTGGGTGAGGAAGGTCGGCTCTGTGTGGACTCTCGCCGGCTCTCTGGAGGCTCCACCAGCGGAGGCAGGTTCCTCATGGCGATGAGGCTGTTGGTGAGGGTCACCCCCGGGGATGTCTGCTCACGGCCTGTGGGAAACACAGAGCGTCAGGACTCGGGCCAGTGGGGTCCAGCC